CCCCGCCTGCATGACTGCAGCAGAGGAGGTGTGGCTGTGACAGTTGTGAGTTTTGTATTTTCTATTTAAATATGTCCCTTAGTGTGCCATTTGTTAAAAAGACTACCAGTGGGCTCTGAAGGGATGCCTGCACACTTTGAAAGTGTGGTTCAGATGTGAAATTGCACTTAAAAGATGTTGAAGAGAGACAAGGGAACGTTGATGTCAGTTTCGGTTTGGGCTGTGTAGTGGCAGCATTTTGAACTTGGCCCTGTCTCCTCTCTGAGAGCTAAAGACCTTATCTCCCTGTGGATGGCATTGTGTGCAGTTAATTATGGCCAAATGGACTCAGCCGCTTCTTCATCGTCTTCTCTACACCGTGCCTTTAAAGGAAGCGGGGCCCTCCCTGCTGAGGCGTTCAGTTAGCCCAGGCACCAGCACCTCCAAACCAAGTTTTTTCTCTCCTTAGTGCTGCTTCCCCCTCTCCAGGTCTTCCTGGGATGTCTTAGAGGTAAGAAAACTGAAGACTTGACCTAGGGAGAAAGGCTTTAACAAAGACAATGCTGCTAGTTAAATCAATCTAGAACTGAGTCCAGCCTCCAGATCTCCTGATTATTTTTTTTCTAACAGTTGATGGGATGAAATCTATGTAAGATTTACTCCTTTGAAGCCCATTGTTTGATGAGTATTAAAAACTAATGCAGCCATGCCTCTGTCACCACAATCCCACTTTAGCACATTCCCATGGCCCAAGGGAGTTCCCTGGAGCCCCTCTGCACTCAACCCCCACCCCAGGCTGCCACTGACTGAGTTTATACTGTAGTGTTCTTTCTGTGACTTGGTTATTTAAATTTTTCTCTGCTTTTAACTGGGTAAAAGTTATAACTTAAATGTGAGTAAAATATGTCAATCACTTGACCCTCAGTTACTGTCCTTGTGTGATATCATACAAGTCTCCACACTCGCCACGTACTGGGCAAAATGCTTTGGGCATCAGAGCAGCCTGCGAGGAAGTGACCAGCGCCAGCATTTACAGGTGTGGGAAATGAAAGTTCCACAAGGTCACTGATGCCCCCGGATCACTCAGTCTGTGACAGAATTGCACTCCTTCCCACATCTCATTAACGCCAGACAGGAGTTTTCTTTCCATCTGAATGCTCTGCCCTGTTCCAGATTTTTTTTAAAAAATAATAAGTGCAATAGAACATTGCCTTTTACTAAGAATTATGCCACTTATTTGTATATTTGAGAAGGATTGTCCTTAACATTTCAGAGTGGAAATGAAAGTAGGGATTTTGCTGAGGAAAATTACTTTGTTTTTAATGCCCTTCTGTGAATTTCGCATGATGTTTTTATGGCACACTGCCACAACATTAACAATTGGCACTACCAGATGTATACTTTGTCTTCATCATGGGCAGCCTGCAAACTCAGCCTGGAAGATGTTAAAAACTGAAACCTTTATTTTTGTCCCTGGATTTGAGACCAACGGGAGTTCTTGTATTTTATGAGTCACCAGCTCCCAGCTTCCCAGTAAGCCTCATCTGGATGAATGCCATCCGGACCCCCGCTGACGCCTCCGAGGCCTTCCTGGGAGCTCTGGAGTCCCCACGGCCTAGTCACACTGCTTCCTCTCTTCATTGCAGCTCCTGAAGGTGGGGCATTCCCCTTGAGACATTTTTTTCTGAGCTGTGAGCCACAGGCAAGTGATGGAGAGGGAAGAGAGCAGCTGAGACAGATGCCGGTTCAACTCTATTTTAAGATATGGGACAAGCTCTGAGGAAGCCCCCAACACAATATCTGGTTGTGTGCCATTGAAGCAAGAACAGAAACCATCCCAGAGTGGAAGACATGGCCCATGTGGTCCTCGTGTTCTGACAGGCTGTGAGATGGAGTTCCATGTGAGCTCTCTACAGAAAAAGCCCTGTCTCCAGGCAGTCAGTGGAGATTTGTTAAACAAGTTGAAACAAAAGAGGACAAGGAATTGCTGTGGCTTTAGACGTTGCGGGGGCATGTAGAACACTCACTCAGGATTTACTTACTGCATCTGCTGTGAGTTAGGCGCAGGAGGGGTCACAGTCAGAAGGTGACTACTGAGACATGTGCCCTGCCCACAGTTTAGAAAATTAAGTTTGGGCCGGGCGCGGTAGCTCACGCCTGTAATCCCAGCACTTTGGAAGGTGGAGGCAGGTGGATCACTAGGTCAGGAGTTCGAGACCAGCCTGACCAACATGGTGAAACTCCGTCTCTACTGAAAATACAAAAAGTAGCCAGGCGTGGCACATGCCTGTAATCCCAGCTACTCAGGAGGCTGAGGCAGGAGAATCGCTTGAAACCAGGAGACAGAGGTTGCAGTGAGCTGATATTGCACCACTGTACTCCAGCCTGGACAACAGAGTGAGACTGTCTCAAAAAAAAAAAAAAAAGAAGAAGAAGAAGAAGAAGAAAGAAAAGACAAGCAAATTAAGTTTGAAGCCTGAAATTGACCTCTTGGTGAGAATGGAAATGGAATGAAATTTCATTCCTTTCCAGATGAAGCTTCTGAAGAGGAGACCTGACTGCCTGGCTAGCATCCAGCTCGCTCATGCACCTCCTTCTAGTCCTGTGGCCATCAGTGAGCTTCTCCGAGTCCCTCTTGCCACTTCTCAGATGTTCCTTTCTGTTCTAGGAGATTTGTAAAACCAGACACTTGGGATATGATTCTCTAGTGGAGAGTTAGGCCTCTAGGTCTCTAAAAATTGCCATTCATGACCTTCGGGCCTAGGGTTTAGAGATGAATGTGCAGTGTGGGTGGCTGCTCTGTGTGTTGTGCCTCCACCAGCTTGGCATTAAGCACCCAGAGCATCGCCTGCTGGGCAGGCCTGGCCGGGGGTGAGCCCCTCCACTGGGGGCTCAGGGTCAAGGCAGATTCCTTGCTTGGCTTTCCTGCTGATTCCTCATGAAGATGCTGATTCGTATTTAAACGTTTGTTCTCAACGGTGGTGTTTGTGTGCTGATTTCTATAGGTAGAGGCTATTGTTTTAGGTGCCAGGTTTGCTGTGCTAGCTCAGACTTCTTACAAAGTGAAGATACTAATGATCATCTTGCAAGGTGCCGTAGTGTCATGAGGGTGAACTGAGGCAGTAGCTATGCATGGTGTCTGCAGCAGCGTTTCTGAGGCTCCAAGAATATCAGTTCCTTTTTCAGAAATGGGGTCAGATCCTTGGGATGTAGACAGTGTTCTCTTCACAGATGCTAACAACTTATCAAAGCTATAATATATTGTTTCTGCTATAATAGGATAGATGCATTCCTAAAAAAACGTATTAAGCAAAAATCAGAAAATAAAAATAACAAGACTTTGAGGAAAAACACAGTTGGGGCGAACATTTAAACCTATACCCCAGTAATAATCCTCATAATGAGACTGACAAAATTGAAAAGATATGTTAAATTCCGAATAATAAATATCCCAGTAAACATAGGATTACACACATACACACACACACACACACACACACACACACACACATTCTTCTGCCTGCGAGAAGGTAGTGAATAGGAGGGGTAATGCAGGGCCAAGGCTGCTAAATATGGAGACAAGGACAAAAAAGCACAAAGATTAGGAAGAACTACCTGACGGGGTTCTGAGGCAGCATTTGTCCAACTGAGCCAAGAGGAAGACTGGGGTGAATGGACACACATACCATATTCCCCCAAGGTTGTGTTTTTGTTTTTGTTTTGTTTTGTTGTTTTTGTTTGTTTTTTGAGATGGGAGTCTCACTCTATTGCCCAGGCTGGAGTGCAGTGGCGTGATCTCAGCTCACTGCAAGCTCTGCCTCCCGGGTTCATGCCATTCTCCTGCCTCAGCTTCCCGAGTAGCTGGGACTACAGGCGCCCGCCACCACATGCCCAACTAATTTTTTTTGTATTTTTATGGAGATGGGGTTTCACTGTGTTAGCCAGGATGGTCATGTTTTTGTTTTTGTTTTAGAGACAGGGTCTCCCTCTGTCACCCAGGCTGGAGTGCAGTGGTACGATCACAGCTCACTACAGCCTCAATCTTCCAGGTCGAGGATCACTCGATACTCATGCCTCAGCCTCCCATGTAGCTGGGGCCACAGGTGCACACCACCACACCTGGCCAATTTTTTAAAAAATTTTGTGTAGAGGTGGGGTCTCACTATGTTGCCCAGGCTAGCCTCGAACTTGTGGGCTCAAGCAATCCTCTGACCTTGGCCTCCCAAAGTGCTGAGATTATAGTTGTGAGCCGCCGTGCCTGCCTTTCCTCTGAGGTTTGGTACATTCAACTGGGCTAATGAACTTGGCATTTAGTGGCAGCTCCTGGCTGAGGCAAAACATTAAAATGCATATGGAAATACAGGCTGGGAAAATGCTTTGAAACCAATGCAATCTCTATGTCAAGGGGACATTGTTCCCTGATTCTATTTCAGGTAATTTGCATTCTAGACTGTGAGGTTCTGTACCTCAACTGATAAATAAGCCTGTTCGTCATCCTGCTAGATGAGAACCTGATATATGAAATCTTTTTTTAATCGTGGCTTAAAACAAAACATAAAATTTACCATCATAATTATTTCTAAATGTACCATTTGGCAGCGTTAAGTATATTTACACTCTTGTGAAACAAATTTCTAGAATGTTTTCATCTTGCAAGACCGAAACTCTGTACTCATTAAACAACTCCCTTTTCTCCCTCTCTTCAACCCTGATAACCACCATTCTTTCCTGTTTTTATGAATTTGACTACTTTAGATACCTCATATAAGGCAGGTCAGGCAGTATTTGTCTCTTTGTGACTGGCTTCACATAGCATAATGTCCTCAGTATTTAACCAGGTTATAGCTTGTATCAGAATTTTATGAAACATGAAGTCTTAAACACCCCAAAGTATATTTTTACCCCAAATGTATTTGAACAATGTTAGGCAGGGAGTGGGAGGTGGGAGTCCTTCTTGCTTTGCCTGTGCAATGAAATGAATAGCCTGCTGTGTTTATCTCCTTGTCATGTGATTCTCCCAGGTTGTTTCTTCAAGTTTCTGAGCCTAACTTAACTCTACAAAGCAAATATTCTGTGTTAAAAGACAGTAGTCAACACGGGAGCTACATCAGACATCATAGGACAAATTGTCATCTAGAAGAGTATATTTTTAATGCAGGAGAGTTTTTAAAACCCAGATTGGTGTGATTTCATTCCAGAGAGCTCAGAAATATGCTCAGCAAGTCTTGCAGAAGGAATGTCGTCCCAAGTTTGCCAAGATATCAATGGCGACGTTATTTGAGCACAGGTATAGCGTGGACTTACTCCCTTTTGTGCACAAGGCCCCCAAAGATAGTGAAACTGAGTCCAAGTACGATCCTCCTTTTGGGTTCCGGAAGTTCTCCAGTAAAGTCCAGACCCTCTTGGAACTCTTGCCGGAGCATGACCTCCCTGAACACTTGAAAGCCAAGACCTGTCGGCGCTGTGTGGTTATTGGAAGCGGAGGAATACTGCACGGATTAGAACTGGGCCACACCCTGAACCAATTTGATGTTGTGATAAGGTACATTGCTTTTTTTTTGTTTACTTATTTTTGTTGTTTATTTTATTTTATTTTTTGAGGCAGGGCCTCACTCCTGTCATCCAGGCTGGAGTGCAGTGGTGTGATCTCAGCTCACTGCAGCCTCAACTTCCCAGGCTCAGGAGATCCTCCCACTGCAGCCTCCCCAGTAGCTGGGACCCCAGGCACACACCATGTGTAGCTAATTTTTTATGTTTTTAGTAGAGATGGGATTTCTGCAAATTGCCCAGACTGGGGTACATTGCTTTTAAAACCAGCCTTTCTTCTCTAGAACTCAGTGCACTGCTCTTGGTCAGTGCAGCTCCAGGAAAAGTGAGGGATGCAGGAAGCTGTTCATAGCCCCTGCTCTCAAGGGACTTACTGTTTGAGAAGTTGAAACAAAAACACAAAATGGTTGGATGCCCCAAACTGTCATACTGACCCTAAGTTGGAGGAGCATGCTGCCAGCTGCAGTAAGTGGCAGAACCTTGTCAGAGAAGTGAGGTTTGGAAGGTGGGTAGATTCAAGTAAAACAGCAAAGGACCACAACTGCCAGGCAGGGGCAAGAAGAGGACACAGCAAGAGACTTGAGTCAATGAGGGGCCTGGCTTCTGGAGAAGGGGCTTGGGGCTAGTGAGTCCTGGAAGGCAGTGCTGGCTGGGACATGGAAGGCACAGAGAAGTTCAAACTCACCATCATAGCCAATAGGCAGTCATCCTAGATTCTTTTTTGGTTTCACTGTTCAAAAATTGTTTTCTGGCCAGGCCCAGTGGCTCTTGCCTGTAATCCCAGCACTTTGGGAGGCCAAGGCAAGAGGATCGCTTGAGCTCAGGAGTTCAAGACCAGCCTGGGCAACATAGAGACAACTTCTCTCTACAAAAAGTCACCAGGCATGGTGGACTAGATTTTCCCTTCTGATTCCTTTTTTGAAATTCTAGCAAGAACTAATATCTGAGCACAATGGGAAATTTCCGAGGATATTTTACTGGCACCCAGAGAAAGTCCCAAATGTAATATACTTAGATTGAGTAAAAATATTAGGGCTAGATGAAATTGCTTGACATTCGGGGATTAGATACAAGTGTTCAGTCAAGGACTAAAGGCTGCATTCCTCGAAATCCTAGAAAGACAGAGCTGGGAGGGGAGATGAGGCTGCAAACCATGCACTGATTCTTAGTCATAAGAAGACGTGAAGGACATGACATGGATACTGCCTGGTGTGCAGAGATGGTTGATGGCCTGCTTTGTCAGTGTGTCTTTGTCCTTTTTATTTAAATAGGTTAAACAGTGCACCAGTTGAGGGATATTCAGAACATGTTGGAAATAAAACTACCATAAGGATGACTTATCCAGAGGGCGCACCACTGTCTGACCTTGAATATTATTCCAATGACTTGTTTGTTGCTGTTTTATTTAAGAGTGTTGATTTCAACTGGCTTCAAGCAATGGTAAAAAATGAAACCCTGGTAAGCACTAATACTTCTATTAAATCTGCCTTAGTAAAAAGTGGAGTCTTAGTTGTATTTATAGCCTTTTATTTTTAAACACGCACAGTGGAATGCATACTTTTGTATTGTCTTTCAAATGATGATCACTCTCTTTGTAGAAACCCCTCAGCAATTCTTTTTTGGGGGGCGGGGTGGGGGGAGGCGGTGCAGGGATGGAGTCTCTCTGTTGCCCAGACTTGAGGGCTGGAGTGCAGTGGTGCAATCTTGGCTCACTGGAGCCTCCACATTCCCAGGTTCAAGCGATTCTCCTGCCTCAGCCTCCTGAGTAACTGGGATTACAGGCGCCTGCCACCATGCCCGGTTAATTTTTGTATTTTTAATAGAGATGGGATTTCACCATGTTGGCCAGGCTGGTCTCGAACTCCAGACCTCAAGAGATCCACCCGCCTTGGCCTCCAAAAGTGCTGGGATTACAGGCGTGAGCCACCGTGCCCAGCCACCCCTCAGCAAATTTGCTGCAAATTGCTTTTAGAACCTAATTAAGAGTCACATGAAAATGGTGATCATTGCTTAATCGGAATATCCAGATTGTGACCAAAATTGCTATTACTGAGATTGTTCACCCATCTTGTTCTCCAGACATGAACTTGCATAGCTTTTGGCTAGTTTCAGAAATTAGATTTACTTAGATGGATATAAGCCTTTTTGAGGATATTCAAAAGAATATAAAATCGATAAGGAATACTCCTGAAGAGCTTCTCCAAAAATGCTTTGGTCGGTGGTTCCCTTGTTGGAATAAATTCATGGCATTCCAGAAGGGCAGCTGTGGAGGAGATGGCCCTCACTTGGTCATATTCCTTTTGTCTCTATTGATCACATTACTTTATAGTCCCACCCATTATATTCAAATACATTTCAGAGGTCAACTGTCGAGGAGTATGTGCACATTTATAGACATATGCACAAACTAGCTGTCTGTGAAACTCACGGGACGTATTAGACTTTTCACATAAACTCCATGTGATGATGAATTTGTATTTCCAAAGCTGATTCTGTACCAGTCATCATGGTCTTCTGGATTTTCTATTGGGCAGAAGTTCTAGCTGGAAGATGAAGCATATATGAAACGACTTCAGTCAGTTGCCAAGAGACTTCATGGGACTAGGAAATAGAGTAAGTGGGAGAGGATACTAGGTGAGGGCAGTCACAGCACTTAATAGCCTTAAATTCGACCTGTTCGCTTGGGCTTCCCTGGACAAAATGATAGCTTTAGCGCCATTGAGGAATGTCTACCTCAAAGAAATACAAGCTGGTTCTGCAATTCCTGTCTTTGTCCAGTGCCGCCTGTGTGAAGTGGCTATTTTAGAGTTACTTTTTTGAGTTGAAGTGCTGGATTTGCGTCGCTTTTGCAATCTACAGAACTAGATTGCTGCAGAAGGCAGCGCCCAGGGCCACGTGGGGTCACACCCATGGCCTTGGCCTGATGAGTGGGAATGCTTTCTCCCCTCCCCTGGAAGGATGACTAACGACTGCTTGCTTGCTTTCCTTAGCCGTTTTGGGTGCGACTCTTCTTTTGGAAGCAGGTGGCAGAAAAAATCCCACTGCAGCCAAAACATTTCAGGATTTTGAATCCAGTTATCATCAAAGAGACTGCCTTTGACATCCTTCAGTACTCAGAGCCTCAGTCAAGGTTCTGGGGCCGAGATAAGGTATTTTTGTTGCTTCTCAAAATTAATCGTTCCCTGTTTGAGGGGAGATGTGTACAAATTTCACTTTGGCTCAACTGTATACCCAGAAGCATCTCCAGTGGAGAAACCCAGCCTTTGATGAGATGCTCCATGTGTGTTTACCACTCTGCACTTGGCTGCAGGGCTCCTCACTATTTAATTGGCCTTCTCTCCAGTGACTCTTCTCTTTAGTGTAGGCAGCACATTAACACTTACATCAGTGAGATACTATTTAAGGTATTCTTATTCCAGGACTCCATATAACTGCAGGACTCTGAAAGGCACTTTTGTGATCCAGAAAGTTATTTACATTTTAATTTTTTTTAATTAAAAAATTGTGTACCCCAGAGAAAAGTCATATTTACATTTTCACTCTGTGAGCCACTCAGGTGAGAATTGATTTTTATCACCACTTTGTAGGTGATAGTTATAAAAGTCAATCCTCAAGAACAGTGTTTTTCAGTTAATGCCTGGGTCTCATCTCATATATTAATTGTTTTGTGTTTTAGGATTTTCTAAATTCCCTGGACAATTTTTATTTTGCAGCCTAATTTGGGAACTTTGTGTTCTAGGCTGTTTATTACAGTAGAGATTCTTTACCTGCAATTAGCAAGTGCTGCCACCAGGGGCATGGGGGTACACATACCTTTATCACTTGCAGCTTCTTGATCTGAATAACTTGACCTGTGTCTTTAAAACTTAAGACTCGTGTGGAAATTATCCCATGTACAATGAGAGTAAACACTCTCAGAATACAAAAAGCTCTTATTAAATCAAAAAGTAAAAGATGAACCAATAGAAAATGGGCAAAGAATAGGAATAGACATTTCACAAAAGGAGAATTAAAATAGCCAAAGAATGCATGTAAAAATGTTCAACTTTACCAATAATCAAATAAAAGCAAATTAGAGCCACAATAGTATTTTTGCCCACTTTTTAGCAAAGACTTAAAAGTTTGTTAATGCCCTTGTTTGGCAGGAATGTACATAGAATGATCAGTTGGCACTTTTTCTGAAGGATATTTTGGCAATATTAAACCGTTTTAAATATGAATCATCTCTGACCCACCAGTTTTACACTAAAAATGTTATTACAAGGAAATTAGAGAAATTTGCAAAGATGAATATTCTAGGATGTACACTATAGCATTAACAACAGAGGACTAAAAACAGCCTAAATGTTCATCACTATGTGATTGTTTAAACAAATTATGATAAAGTCAATGCAATATTTTCTGACTGTTAAAGATGAAGAAGATAGGAAAACACCTCCATAGTATATTAAGTAAGAAAATAAAGATACTAAAACACTAGGCTGGGTGCAATGGCTCACGCCTGTAATCCCACACTTTGGGAGGCTGAGGCGGGCAGATCACCTGAGGTCAAGAGTTCGAGACCAGCCTGACCAACATGAAGAAACCCCATCTCTACTAAAAATAAAATTAGCCAGGCGTGGTGGCTCATGCCTGTAATCTCAGATACTTGGGAGGCTGAGACAGGAGAATCGCTTGAACCCGGGAAGCAGAAGTTGCGGTGAGCCAAGATTGCGCCATTGCACTCCAGCCTGGGCAACAAGAGTGAAACTCCATCTCAAAAAAAAAAAAAAAAAAAAAAGAAGAAGAAGAAGATACAGAACACTTTAAAAATAAAAGTATGTGTTTAGTGTAAAAGCTTGGAAATAGACACCAGCCTGTAAAGAATGCCCTTCTTCAGAGGGAAAGTCTGTAGAAGACTTCTCCTTTCTGCTTTATAATCTATTAGTTGAGCTGAATATTTGCCTATTTTTATAATTGACAAAATGGCATTTTTCTTTTGGATAAAAACAGTAACTTAAAAGAGGACTTCTGATCTAAAATTGCAATATTAGAAACTTCCTCATGTATATGTCCTTCCAGCAGATGAAGAAGCCTGTTGAGCAATAGGAGATGTGATCTCAAAGGGTGTGCTGTGGAGATAATGTGCTTTGGGGAGTTTTTCATCATTGTTTTAGTTCTCCCCATATGTCACTCCAATGGACAGTTGATTTCACACACTCCTTCCACAAACATTGAATATTCCCTGTGTGCCAAGCTCATCACTGGGGGTATAGGGTTGGAGAAGACAGGACAACGCCTAGAGCCCTGGCTAAACAGGAGGAAAGTGTCCTTTGTGTTAATTTCTCTTGGTTTCTATTTCCAAGCATGCAGAATGGCTGTTGAGTTCCTTTTTAACAAGTGAGGTTGGCTTTGAGAGGTAGATGCATCAAAGAGCAGGAAGCAGATTTTAACAAATGATGACCTCAGTAGATGTTCCCTAATCCCACCTGAATCTGTGAACTCTGGAGGGTCCACTGTTGTTCCACTTTACAAAAAAGGAAAGATATTTATGGTAGCCACTGGTTCAACTAAGATGAATGAAAAGGGAGGCACATTTTCACATGAAAAACTATACAAAAGGATGCTAATATTAAGAGTATCAGTAGATTGGCGGCAGCCTTCGAGGAAGCATAGTGAGCTGCAGGGCCTTCTGTATTCCTCCCATCCTGTTTACTATTTTTACCCAAGACTGGCATGGAGATCCAGAAAGCACGATGCCACATTTGCACTTTCCAGGAGGCACAATAAGATGCCAGACATCAGGAGGGAGTGGGGACACCATCAGAATCTAGAAAGGTGTAGACAATGGAGATTCTAGACCAAGGTCAGTAGGATACATTGTTAAAGGAACAAATGTGAAAATATTTAATTCAGGACTAAAAATATACTTGTGGCTGGGCATGGTGGCCCATGGCTGTAATCCAAACACTTTGGGAGGCCAAAACGGGAGGATTGCTTGAGTCCAGGAGTTCAAGACCAGCCTGGGCAGCATGGTGAAACCCTATGTCTACAAAAAATACAAAAATTAGCCGGGCATGGTGGCATATGCCTGTAGTCCCAGCTACTCAGGAAGCTGAGGTGGGAGGATCACTTGAGCCTGGGAAGGTCAAGGCTGCGGTGAGCTGTGATCACGCCACTGCACCCCAACCTGGGCGAGAGAGTGAGACTGGCCCTGTCTCAAAAAATATATATACAAACAGAGGGTGGGAAGAAACTGGCTTTGCAGCTCTACATAGGGAAATGGCCTGCAAGTGCTATTTGCCAGCAAAGCCAGTGGGGCCCTTAAGTGGCATGTAGCTGGCGGTGGTGTGAACGCAGTCTTCTGCAGTGAGAACTGAGAATCCTCTGTTCTCAGGAAGGGATGGGTTCCAGAAGGAAGGATGGTTCCAGAAACCAGCCTGGGAAGGACCATGGAAGGTCCTAGGCTACTTATCCCAGAGCAGACCTTATAGACATTTGTCATTGAGAAAGGAAATAGGCTTTTTTTTTTTTTTTTTTTTTTTTTAGATTCTGGGCATCACATGTAGGACCAGTGGGGTAGACATTTTAGAATACCTTTTTTCCTTTTTTTTTTTTTTTTTTTTTTTTTTTTGAGACGGAGTCTTGCTCTGTTGCCAGGCTAGAGTGCAGTGGCTCAATGTCGGCTAACTGCAACCTCCACCTCCCGTGTTCAAGTGATTCTCCTGCCTCAGCCTCCCAAGTAGCCGGGACTACAGGCGTGTGCCACCACACCTGGCTAAATTTTGTATTTTTAGTAAAGACGGGGTTTCACATATTGGCCAGGCTGGTCTTGAACTCCTGACCTCGTGATCCGCCCACCTTGGCCTCCCAAAGTGCTGGGATTACAGGCATGAGCCACCGCGCCCGGCCTAGAAGGAATACCTTTTAACTTGGTGTAAGAATTGTCGGACTGTCCCTTGAAAGTGTGTGAACATCAGAGGCCATGTTTTAGAGCCTAGATTCCTGACTCAAATGGGGAGTTGAACTCTAAAGTTCATGATGTATAAAATTATGTGATGTATGAAATTGCAGCCCCCAATGTAGCTTTCATGACCCTACATAGCATATATAATATCAGCAAAATGGTGACTTGTGCTAAAACTTTCTTTAAACTTTTTGGTCTTCTTTTCTTTTTTCCAGAATGTCCCCACAATCGGTGTGATTGCCGTTGTCTTAGCCACACATCTGTGCGATGAAGTCAGTTTGGCGGGTTTTGGATATGACCTCAATCAACCCAGAACACCTTTGCACTACTTTGACAATCAGTGCATGGCTGCTATGAACTTTCAGACCATGCATAATGTGACAACGGAAACCAAGTTCCTCTTAAAGCTGGTCAAAGAGGGAGTGGTGAAAGATCTCAGCGGAGGCATTCATTGTGAATTTTGAACACAGAAAACCTCAGTTAAAAATGCAACTCTAACTCTGAAGGCTATTTTTGACAGCCTTCTTGATGTATTTCATCCTGCAAATACTTTGAAGTGCAGCTGGTGTTTTTAACTTTTAATTTAAAAACACACAATATATTTTAGCTCTTCCCACTTTTTTTCCCTATTTATTTGAGGTCAGTGTTTGTTTTTGCACACCATTTTGTAAATGAAATTTAAGAATTGAATTGGAAAGACTTCTCAAAGAGAATTGTATGTAACGATGTTGTATTGATTTTTAAGAAAGTAATTTAATTTGTAAAACTTCCGTTCGTTTACACTGCACATTGAATACAGGTAACTAATTGGAAGAAGAGGGGAGGTCACTCTTTTGATGGTGGCCCTGAGCCTCATTCTGGTTCCCTGCTATGCTGCTTTGTATGACCCACGGAGGATCCACTTCCAGGATGACGTCCTCCATAGCTATGCTGCTGATACAGGGTCTGCAACGCAGCAGCATGAGGCCTGAGCTGGTCGGAGGAGGTCACAACCCTTCTCTGTTGGTCTGCCCTCTGCCGAAAGACTCAAGAACCAACCAGGGAAGCTGTCCTGGAGGTCCCTGGTCAGGGAGGGACATAGAATCTGTGTCCTCTGACAACTGTGAAGCCACCCTAGGCTGCAGAAACCACAGTCTTCCCAGCAATTATTACAATTCTATTTTTACTGCCCTTTCAAAGCACTTAAGTATTAGATCTAACGTGTTTCAGTGTCTGTCTGAGTTGGCTTAAAAAATCAGAACAAAACCTCTATTATCCAGAGTCATGGGAGAGTATACCCTTTCCAGGAATAATGTTTTGGGAAACACTGAAATGAAATCTTCCCAGCATTATAAATTGTGTATTTAAAAAAAAGAAACTTTTCTGAATGCCTACCTGGCAGTGTATACCAGGCAGTGTGCCAGTTTAAAAAGATAAAAAGGAAAAAGAATAAAAACTTTTGAGGAGCTCTCGTAGTCTGGTTAATTTCGGTGCTTATGTCTCTGAGTCTACCCAAAACCTCCTTCTTGGATGCTGCTGCTAGGTGGAGACCTCTCTGTGGATGCCAGTAGTGAGTGACAGAGAATTAAGGTGCCTGGTGCTGCAAGCTGCTTGAGCCCAGACAACTGAACCCCTCTGGAGAGGTGCTGGGTGTCGGTGGCTTCCTCCCCAAGGACAGGCTGCCCCTAGCTTCATCTCAGCGGCTCTAGCCTCTGCTATCAGAAGATCTGCTGCTACTCTGTTCCCAGCCTGCCCCAGACTCGGCTGCCGCCATCGCTCTTCTCCACTCTGTGGCTGCCGTTGTCACTAATGCTACCTGCCTCCACTTGCCCTTCCTGCAACTGCTTGTGCAGCCCCAGTACAGCCTTGACCCCCAGCCCATTCCAACGTCTTCCCACCTCCCTCCTCCTCGGCATATGCAGGGCCAGGAGTCAGGTCACAGCATTCAAAGCAGAGTCCCTTCAGTCTCCAGGGATCTGGAATCCAGCTCAGAGTGGCCAGGAGAGCAAAAGTCGTATTTCTCTGGTTTTGTGTCTTTACAAATAATTTTGTATGAAGTTTATTTCCTATGCTATAAGCTACTGCTTGTTTAAGAGAAAATGTTTTAAGATTATCACGCAACAAATGAGTTTAGAAAATTGAGATTGTGGAAGATGGTCCACAGCTCCCTTGTGGCTCAGGTGGGGCTAGGCTTACACCACACAGCTCCACCTCACATCCCTCAGGGGCTAATTGGAGAAGCCGGAACTTCCTCAGACAACGTTCTTAATGCTACGAGCACCTCCTTGCTGGTATGTGGAGACTTGCCCACCTGCTTCTCAAGGCTGCTGGGATGTGTGGCACTCAAAGCTTCCACTTGGTCAGCTTGCAGCAACTCTCAGGCCCGCTCCCGTCCCCATTCCTCCTCCCTGTAAGGCCCTTCTTGCATCCTTAGGTTGCTTTGCTCATGTCTTTCAACTTTTACTTACTCAGGCAGTAAGTACATACCCTAAAAAGGCATGTTTTTGTAGACCTTTTATAGAGCCCACCAGCCAATAGGAGTTGGCTGGAGATCATTCTCAAGAACTTTTCACACTTTGGCATTCATTTGTTGGAAGTTTCATCTTCACTTCAGAGCTGCGCCCCCATTACTCCCCGACCCCACGCACACTCGTCTGAAAACAGACCTTTGCTAGGTGCCTCTGGGTGTTCTAAGGTTGATCTCCAGTAACTGAGAATTCACTGTCACTCTAACAGCTTTGTATTGCATTCTAGACCGGCACACACACCCTCTGACATCAATGAAATCACTGGTTCTGAGGCAACTTAAGAAGACTTACACATGTTCTGTATTTTAACATACTTCTAGAACTTTGAGCTGCAGAAATTTTCAGTTTTAGCATTTTTTTATTTGAATTTTTGATACATAATGATGTCCATATTTTGAGGGTCCATGTGATAATACATTCATGTAATTTTAAGGAGCAAATCTGTGTAACTGGGATATCTGTCACATTAAATATTTGTCTTTATGGCAGAAACATTTGAATTATTCTAGTGATTTTGAAATACACAGTAAATTATTGTGAACTATAGACATTCTACTGACCTATCAAACACTAGGTCTTATTTATTCTACCAAACTGTGTATTTGTACCCATTAATCAACCTCTCTTCATTTCCCCCTACCCTTCTTGGCCTCTGGTAGCTACCAGTCTACTCTCTATCTTCATGAGATCCACTTTTTTAGCTCCCGCATAGGAATGAGAACATGTGATATTTGTCTTTCTGTGTTTGGCTTATTTCACTTAACATCGCCTCTAGTTCCATCCATCTTTCTGCACATAACAAGATTTCAACATTTTTATGGCAGAATAATATTCCATTGTGTATATATACTACATTTTCTTTATTCATTCACCCATTGATGGACACTTAGGTTGATTTCATATTTTGGCTATGTGAATAGCACTGCAATAAATATGGGAATATAGATAGCTCTTCAATATGTCTTTCGTTTTGGATATTGATATGGTTTGGCTCTGTGTCCCCACCCAAATCTCGAATTGTACTCCCATAATTCCCATGTATTGTGGGAGGGACCCTGTGGGAGATTATTTGAATCTTGGGAGTGGTTCCCCCCATACTGTTCCCATGGTAGTGAATACATCTCACAAGATCTGATGATTTTTTTCAGGGGTTTCCACTTTTGCATCCTCCTCTCTTGCCACTGCCATGTAAAAAGTGCCTTTTGCCTCCCACCTTGATTCTGAGGCCACCCCAGCCATGTGGAAAGGTAAGTCCAATTAAATCTGTTTTTGTTCACAGTCATGGGTATGTCTTTATCAGCAGCGTGAAAACAGACTAATATGGATATAAAGTCAGTAGTGGAATGGCTGGATCAGATGGTAATTCTATTTTTAGTTTTTTGAGGAACCTCCATACAATACTCCATAGTGGCTGTACTAATTTACATTCCCACTAACAATGCACAAGCATTTCCTTTCTCTACATCCTTGCCAGCATTTATATTCCCTGTCTTTTTAATAAGAGCCATTTTAACTGGGGTGAGATTATATTGTGGTTTTGATTTGTATTTCTTGATGATTAGTAATATTAAGCATTTTTTTCATATACCTGTTGGCCCTCTGTCTTTTTTTGAGAAATGTCTCTTCAGATCTTTTGCCCATTTTAAAATCAGTTTGCTTTTTGCTTTTGAATGGTTTGAACTCCTTATATATTTTGGTTATTAACCCCTTGTCAGATGGATAGTTCACAAATATCTTCTCCCATTCCATGGATTGTCTCTTGACTTGTTGATTGTTTCCTTTGCTGCACAGAATCCTTTTAGCTTGATGTAATTCTATTTGTCTGTTTTTGCTTTGGTTGCCTGTGCTTTTGAGGTTTTACACAAAATATTTTTGCCCAGACTAATGTCCTGCAGTGTTTCCCTAATGTTTTCATGTAGTTTCATAGTTTCAGGTCTTATATTTAAATCTTTAATCCATTTGCTTTGGGTTTTGTATATGGTGAGAGATAGGGGTTCAGCTTTATTCTTCTGCATATAACTATCCAGTTTTCCCAGCACCATTTATTGAAGAGATTCTCTCCTCTCCCCATTCTATGTTCTTGATGCCTTTGTCAAAAATGAGTTGGCTATAAATGCATGGATTTATATCTGGGTCTGGGTTCTCTATTCTGTTCCATTGGTCTGTATGTCTTTTTATGCCAGTACCGTAATGTTTTGGTTACTATAGCTTTGTAGTATATTTTGAAGTCAGGTAGTGTGATGCCTCTAGCTTTGTTCTTTTTCCTCAGGATTGCTTTGGGTATTTGGGGTCTTTTGTGGTTCCATGTAAATTTTGGATTTTTTTTTTTCTATTTCTATGAAGAACGTCATTGGGTCCATAAGCATGAAATATCTTTCCATTTTTGGGTGCTCTTCAGTTTCTTTCATTAGCGTTTTATAGTTGTCCTTGGATAGATCTTTCACATCTTTGGTTAAATTGATTCCTAGGTATTTTGTATTATTTGTAGCTACTGTAAATGAAATTGATTTCTTGATTTCTTTTTCAGATTGTTTGCTCTTGGCATATGTAAATGCTATTGATTTTTGTATGTTGATTTTGAATACTGCAACTTTACTGAATCTACTTATCAGTTCCAACAGTTGTTTGGTGGAGTCTTTAGGTTTTTCTAAGTATAATATCATGTCATCTGCAAACAAGACTAGTTTAAACTTCTTTCTTTGATGCCCTTTATTTCTTTCTCTTGCCTTATTGCCCTGAAACTTCCAGTAGTGTGTTGAATAAAAGTGGTGAAAGTGGGCATCTTTGTCTGGTTCCAGATTTTAAAGAAAAGGGTTTCAGTTTTTCCCTATCAGTATTATATTAGCTATGAGTTTTTCATAGCTAATGGCCTTTATTATTTGAAGTATATTTCTTCTATACCTAGTTTGTTGAAGGTTTTTTTCTTATAAAGGCATGTTTAATTTTATTGAATCTTTTTCAGCATCTATTGAAATAATCATATCGTTCTTGTTCTTGGTTCTCTTAATGTGATCTATTGTGTTTATTGATTTGTATGTTGAACCATCCTTGCTTGCATCCCTAGGATGAATCCTATTTGGTCATGATGAATTATATTTTTAGTGTGTTGTTGAATTCCATTTGCTAGTATTTTTTGAGGATTTTTGCATCTATGTTCATCAGTGATATTGGCCTATAGTTTTCTTTTTTGGTTGTGTCTTTGTCTGGTTTGGTATCAGGGTAATGCAAGCCTCATAGAATGAGTTTAGAAATATTCCCTTCTCTTCAATTTGTATGAAGCATTTGAATGGAATTAGTCATCATTCTTCTTTAAATGTTTGGTGGAATTCAGCAATAATGCAATCAGGTCCTAGACTTTTCTTTGATGGGAGACATTTTATTATGGCTTCAATCTCATTACTCATTATTGGTTCATTGAAATTTTCTATTTCTTCATGGTTTCAATCTTGGTAGGTTGTACATGTCCAGGAATTTGCCCATTTCTTCTAGGTTTTCCAACTTGTTGGCATGTAGCTGTTCATAATAGCCTCTAATGATTCTTTGTATGTCTGTGGCATCAGTTATTATGTCTCCTGTTTCATTTATAATTTTATTTATTTGAGTCTTCTCTCAGTTAATCTTGCTAAAGGTTTGTCAATTTTGTTTTTGCCAAAAAAAACCCTTTTCATTTCATTGATTTTCTTTATTTTTTAGTCTCCATTTATTTCTGCTCTGAATTTTATATCTTTTCTTCTAATTTTGAGTTTAGTTTGTTCTTTTCTAGTTTCTTGAGGTACATCATTAAGTTGTTTATTTGAAGTCTTTCCACTTTTTTGGTACAGGCATTTATTGCTATAAAATTCCCTCAGTACTATTTTTGTTGTATTCTACACATTTTGGTACATCATTTTCCATTTTCATTTGTTTCCAGAAATTTTTAAAATTTTCTTTATTTCCCCAT